TACTGATTGACTCTAGAAAGTCTTTTGAACCGTCTACATCATGTGTCAAACTCGAGGTCCGTGGGCCAAATCCAGCCTACCATAGCTTTTTATGTGGCCCTCTAAATCCTTGAGACCATTCTCAAGTAACCAACTGGTAGTGGTATAATAATGGAAGTCCAATAAACTTCAATTTTGTAAAAGAAAAACTTAACACTGGAAGATATTTTAAATATCTAAAATAAAACAGGCAAAATCAATAAATTAGACAAATCATGGTGTTTTATTAGCATAATTTCCCTTCAAGAAATATCCATAATCAGGATGGAAACTACCAAGCTCATTTTAAGTTATTATGCGATTAATTGCTTAATGCGTTTTTTTTGGTGTGTGTATATTTGCCACCTTTGCGCTAAAGTAAATATACATAAATATGGCCAGATTTTAGGCTGAGTGGATGTACAGCAACTCATTAAAAAGTGAATGCACTGCATGAGTCGGTAGCAAATTTTTGGAGCAGGCCTTCTGTCAGATTTGCACAAATTCAGAATGACAATTTTCCCCCTCAGTCCTCAAGAAGGTCGATAAAGAGCAGCAAATAATTTCCACTCAGATGCTGAAAGAGCAGAGATTGTTGGGTATTCCTCTAAAAAACAATGTTTATTATTTTATTAAAATGAGTCACACTTTCTTCATCACTTACGCAGTGAGTGATGAAGAACCCTATTTTAGCTCCACATACAGAAGCATTAATCTGGAGCTTCTGTAACCAGGGACATTTTGTGGTATGCTATTGTGATAATACAAGTGGCAATAAGAATGATTTATTGTTACTTTTTTAGATAACTCTATGACTGTGATTGCATAACAAACTAATGTTGCTCTTGAAAAACACATATTTTCAGTATGTTTCTTTGAAGTGCCCCATTAATCATATTTTTTACATTTATTGATATTTAGTGATATTTTTATTGACAAACAATGGGGAAATAGTTAAACTAACAATCCAGACCAACATGGACAGATTTGGGGGCTTCCAAATATCATCAATAGGAATTTATTGCAACAACAATTATCATAATTCTCATAATGATAAGAAATTTATCACAACAAATGATAAACAAAAGCTCAGGTATTTCCCATAAGCCACAGGTACTTTTGGAAAAGCTATGAAACGACAAGGTATCCTTAATATGAAACTGTTCAGTGTTTTAACAGCTACAAAGGTTTATTTTACCTTGACAGAATAACTAACCTCTCTCTTAAAGTGTGTCTGAATCAGGGTTGAAATATGCAACTGTTTATATCCCAAAAATATTTAAAACCCACCCAACTGCAAAGAAAAGTACAAATCATGATGCTGCAAAGGGTTGTACAATACTACACATAGAGACACTTGATTAACCAATGACTAATCATTTATAATGGCATTTAATAGATTCTAAACACTTCAAAAATAAATCCAGTAACAAGGTAAGTGCAATAGCACATTTCACTAAAAGTTTTGTGTTTATTTCAAAAGAATTTTCCACTGAATGGTTTCTAGAAACCTGACAAATGTTGTGAAAAGCAGTAAAACTGTAAACAATTTCCAGCCCAATTGGGTAGAAACCCACACAATCTGGCAACACTGGTCTGAATGAGATGGTTTTATACCCAAACACAGTCCTTGGATGAAGTTGTACCAAGCTGTCCCGCTGTGACCAAAGGAAAAATTCAAAAGCATAGATCGACTGAAGGAGGTCAGTAGTGAGACGGATTTAAGTAAAATATTGCAGAATTACATAAATTTACCCAAAAATGTCAAAATATTTTTTACACAGAAACACAAACATAGAAGACTAAACGATACAGATAAATGTGTGGATGTGCCTAAACTTTCTCCAACAAGAAACAAAGATAAAACTGAAGTTATTATATTTGGACCTAAAGAGGAACAATCTAGAGTCAATGCACAGCTTCACATATTACATCTAAAACCACAGCAATCAGGCCTGAAACCTGGGAATAGTGATGGACTCTGACCTGAACATTCAAAGCCACATAAAGATGGTTATAAACTCAGCCTTCTATCACCTGAAGAACATTACTAATGTCTCAGCAAGATCCAGAAACTCATCCATGCATTTAACTTTAGTTGCACTGATTACTGCAACAGTGTCTAAAAAAAAAAAATCAGGAGAGCTGCAGCTGATCCAGAACGCTGCTGCTGGTGTTCTGACTAAAACCAGGAAGTTAGAGAACATCAGCCCGGTTCTAAAGTCCCTACACTGGCACAGAGGATAGACTTTAAAATACTGTTGTTAGCTTATAAATCACTGAACAGCTTAGCATGACACTACATTAAAAATCTGCTTTTGTCATGGCAACCTTCCAGATCTCTCAAGTCTTCTGGTTCTGCTCTCCGTCCCCAGAACCAGAACCAAAGATGGAGAAGCAGCATTCAGCTTCTATGCGCCACAAATCTGGAATATACTTTCTGAAAACTGAAAAGCAGCTGAAACACTGACTTCCTTTACATGTAGACTAAAAACCCACCTGCTTGGAATTGCTTTTGAAACATAATCAATTACAAATTTACTAAATGTAATATTTCGACTGTTGATTCTATGTCGCATGACTTTGTGTTTTTTCATTTTTTATGATGTAAAGTACTTTGAACGGCCTTGTTCCTGAAATGTGCTATAGCAGTGGTTCCCAAAGTGTGGGATGCGCCCCCTAGAGGGGGAGCAGTGCCTTGCAGTGGGAGTGGGGGGAGGGGCAGTGTGGATGAATGGAAAAAAACAAAACAAAACAGTTACATTAAAGTGTTTCACTGTTTATGTATTTGTTGCAACCTGAAGTGTGAAATAAACTTCAGTGGAGTTTGAAAACAAAATGTCTTTAAAGGTTTATGTCTGGTTGAACGATGTGTGTGCTCAATTTTTTTTTTTTTTTTGGGGAGGTGGGGGAATTTTATTGTAATCCATAGGGGGGTCCAGAAGAAAATCTTTGGGAACCACTGTACTATAGAAATAAAACTTGATTGACTAAATAACCCAGTTAGTCAGCTAATCAGCAAAAACAGTTGATTTTAGTAGTAGTTTGTACATAACACAAAGATCTAAATCCTGCAGTTATTTGTGTGGGAAATATGTTTCCAGATTCGCATCCAGAAGAAAAAGCAAGCTACACAAAAAAAAAAAAGTGCAAACTCCCAGCTGCACACATAAGGAGTGCTGGTGAAAATGACTGCATCCCTCTGGGGAGTGGGCAGTGGGAGATGCGGGACTTGATGAATCAAGGACCTTTTGTTTGCAGCAAAATTATTGCTTCAGCCTCGTTGGAAAAGAACATCGCGTTGGCTGTGCTTGGCAGGTGGGAGACAGTCATTTGTGGCCATTTAGGTTTGAAGCTGCCGCAAAGAGAGACTGAGGAGAGCAAGGTCATTTAAAGAGGATGTAGAACGTAATGATGTGGCCAATGAAGGGTGTTTAAGTGTGTCTACTCTACTTGTATTGAGCTGCAACTCAGCACGGCACAGCAACACTTGCAGTAATGAAAGAGACTCACAGGGATCTTTACGATAAACACAAATCTCAGACGCAAATGTGATATTTCAGATTTAGAAATCCCTCGAAACGCTCTCTTTTCTGTCTCTTATTAATTTAGCAAATTTGCAGAATTATGTTAAAAAAACAGAATTCAAATGAACCTCTGGCCTTACTAGATGTGCGCAAAAAACAGAAGAAACATTTTGATTTTGTGGTATTTAGCATGTCATTTTTAAATCTGCACACGATGCAGAACAGACCTTCATATCACAACAGGAAGAACACGTCAGAATGAGCAAACCTGCTGCTTTTTGAGCACAAGCTTCAGATTTCTATGCAAAGTGTGGAAAAAAACACTGAAAAAAAGACGTATTCACTGGGTTGATTTCTGCTAAATATCATGTGATTTGTTGTCCGCGATTTACGACCGACCATTTTACAGCAATGAACAAGCAGAAGGATGGATGAGACTTTTTCCTTTTGTTTATTATCCTAAACATTAAAATAACCTTATGATTCATAACAGAAACATTTACAAATGACAAAAATAATCCCTATTGAGTAAGGGTTTTGCAGTTCCAATGTCATTTAAAAAGCTTCAATTTAGAACAGAGAAAAAATATTTTAATGTAAATCGATTTAGAGAAAATAGTTACCAGTGAATGAATGTATTTTAATCCCTGAGGAGATTCCTTAGAAAAAAAAAATCTGAATATTTCTTTCCTTTACTCATACTGAGGGACTGGAAATAGCTTTGCTAAAACAGAAGTAAAATATTTAGCTAAATCAATTGTGCTACGTCTTTTTTTAAGAATATTCAACTAATCTTTGGCATTTTTAAATGTCATTTTGTATAAAAAAGAAAGCATTTCAATATCACATCCACAAATTATGAATTCCTCCATGCAATGCACCACCGCATAATCCACAACTGAGCCTCTACAAAGGAGCACTGCAGACACAGCCAAAGAAAAACCTTAAATTTAACAAGAAATAAATAATTTGGCTTCTTTATTTACAAGCAACCCTTTGACCTGTAGACGCAGCAATACTAAGACTTACCCTCGCCCAATAAACCCAAGAATGACAGTAGAAAAATATAAAAATATTCAACTTATTCTAAAACGGATCTGATTCACCACCATCATTTCTGGGGGGGAGACAGAAAAGCTTAAGCAAGAAAATAAATTTCCAAACCTTTCTGCGTTTTTACTTCCTGTAAATATTCCCAACTTTATATTTATATTTTGTAGCAGCTCAACAGGATGCACAATGCAAACTATGAATGCTATATGGCGTATGTATAACTCTATATGTTTTGCTACAAACATATAAGTCCATTTGATGGTTTGAGGTAGTTTTGCAGAAATTAGCTGCTCTTTGGTAAAACAGAGCAGACGCATTAATTAAAGCTTTTTAAAAAACGAGTCTAAATGGAGTTTAAACACAACCCGCCCCCAAATGTAAAAACAAAAACAGTTTTTCTACCTGAGTGAGTCGGCTGCGGAGCCCCTCTGCTGTCCATTTCCAGCTGCCACAGATTACAGCGCGAGCTCAGCTCCTCGTGAGAGCGCGAGCAAGTCAAGAAAAAGATAAACTGCGCGGGTAATGGGCGCGCGCTGCGCCGCCGCCGCCTGCGCGAGAGAGATACCGAATCACAGCGCGCGAGCTGGGATGACAGAGGACAACAGAGGAGGACGAAATGAGAAAAAAAATAAAAAACATAAAACACAGAGCGGGAGGCATGAAGAAGCAGCAACTCGCACACAGAAATATGTTGCCACGAAGAAGAAACACTTGGAAAAACGTTTACATTTTCAAAACAGGATGAAGAGACTGATGGTTTTATCCCTTAAACTGCAAAACAATCACTTCCTAAAATTAAATTTTAGGTAAAAGAAATACGGAGACTTACATACAAGACTCTCAGGAAAACAAAAAGGGCAAAACTGGTGCCACTGATCCAAGTTTAAAAATGAAAATTACACCTGAACGTCTTCTCAGAAATGACATTTTGAAAATAAATTTACTTAGGGGAAACAATTAACATTTTCCAATTAAAAGATTCGGCTTAAGTGTTGAAATTGATTTTGATGGAAACACTTTTTTTCACATCAGATGTTGCCACTGGCGTAAACCACGAAGGAAACGCAAACAGGAAGTCGTTTTTAGTGTTATACCGTCAAGTGTTTTTTAATGACATCACATGAACAAACTTATTCATGTGCACTTGGATTTACATTTCTTGTCTAATGGTAACACCAAACTTGTGTTTTTTCTTCATTAGAGTAAGATTTGCAAAGTTGTGCACATTAGTCATGGAAACTTAGCTTCATTCTGTCATGCAGACTCCCAGTGGAAAAGTGAAAACCTTTATTGCGCACAATGTGAGAACAGAAAACAATATGGCCGGCTTGCAAATGACAATGATATGGAAGACGACTTTATTGCTTGTACTATATTCTTGTATGAGTTTATTCTCGTGATATGTATTGTACGTTTACGCTTATTGTGACAATGTTTTATGGGTTTATTATTGGAATTTTATTTTTTCTAGTAATACTACATTATAAGTTCCACATATGGAAGTGAGACAAACTCTATTTTTGGGTGTGAAAAGACCTGAATTTAAAAAGCCAGTCACATTTGGACAAAACAAAGTATATTTGAGTCACATTTGCCTGCCCCTGACTCCTTTGCCTAAAACAAATTGCCTTATAGTAGATTTGATGAAAGATGAAGTGGAATTTAAAGCTTAAAAACAATGTTATCCTATAAACAGTTCTAGTAAAAACCTGCTGCAGCTTAATGAATGACAATAAACAACTTGAGAAGTCACAGGACAATGCTGTCTCACTGTGATACATCAAATTCCTTCCCACCTCTAGGTCGTATTTATGTCGCGTAAGGTCCAATCCCGGCCCTGTCAGAGCTGCACATTAACATCGCTGGGCTGCGTTCAAAAGCAGATGCCTGCAGAAGACTCGGGGAGTCCAGTGACACCAGGACATGCCTGCGTCCGCTGCGGCCAGCTCGCTATGCCTGCGTGTTTAATTCAGCTGTCAGCCAGATCGTGATGCATGAACGGTGGAACATACTTGGAGTTTGAGCTATGTCCTTCGCATTGAAGTCCTTTGACGCCCTGCTTGACCTCACCACAAGGCATCTACCCTAAAAATAAAAGAGCTCATGTGTTTGTACTCGTCTTTTCGCTTCTGGGTGTGGGGACGAAAGAAAACCCAACAGATGCATGAACTGGGGACCTCCAGAGAAGAAGAATCAGCCTCCTGCTGCTAAGGTTAGAATAAAATGTGTGCAGGCCAGTCATCAAGCTCCCTCCATCAGACTTAATAACAGCCCTCAGCTCCATCATCATCTTGAGTGCTTTCATTAAAGAACATTTTTATTCTGCTGTGCTCAAATCATCGAGAAATTGTCCATGACGCGGAGCAGCGTGTTATGGCTCCAACCCGGTCACCATGGCAATGTGAACGTCTTCTTTTTTATGAACTCCCTTTTGGGTTTTTTTTTGTCTTTCGACTTTAATGTTTTGATTGAGATGACACTTTCAGGATGCCAGTGGTTCATTTTGAAAAGATGGAGTGTGGAACCGCAGCCACATAATGGTTGCACTTCACATCCTGGAGCAGAGCAACCCCCAGCGTTGGAGAGTATTTCAGCTTGATTACACAATCCGCCGTCATTTGTAGTAGTTGTTTTTGTTGCATAAAGTGTATGCCATTTATTGTCTTCTGCATGCGACTGATTTAATTACATCTGTTGTCTAAATGCCATCTAAAAATGTAGAAATATTAATCCTTTCTTCACGATGCGACAAATGTCGAGAAATTAAAAGGACGTAGCATCTGAACTGATGTTTTCACCGCAAATTAAACCATCAATCAAGCTTTCAAGTAGACAAATTATGTTGTTTTTTTGATTTGATGCAATTAGGTTTGGCAGGTATTTTTCTACTTCAATATAAAATAATACAATTATATCCAGGTGTTAATGTAGTTTACTTTGTAATTTTTCAGCAAGAAGGTGTCCAGTTCAAATCTCAGCAGTAAAAGGTATTTTTCTCCCTTGTAAACGTCTTCTGCATTTACTGTTTTTTTAATTTTCTTTTATGTTTCAGATTACCAAATGAATTTTTACATCAAGCAAATACAATCTTAGTAAATTGATCAAAGCAGTTTCCAAGTTATGAAGACGTTTTATCCAAAATAGGAACCAAGAATTCACATTTACACAACAGCCTTTGCTCATCCTTGAGATGTTTCTATGTCTAAATTGGGTCTAATGTCGCAAATTCAGTCGATTAGGCTTGATTTAGAAAGGCAAGAATTAAATCAAAGGCGATGTCTGTAGACAGAATTGTCTTGAAATTCAAACCTGGGGAAGAATAGAGAATAATTTATGCTTTGAGGGTTAAAATGAGCACAGTGGCCAGTCCGACTGGGATGGATGAAGTTTGGAACCACCAGGACTTTTCCTGGTCGGCCCTCTAAACTGAGCGATCGGAGGGAAAAGACTTTAATTAGAGTGGAAACGAAGAACCCAATGGTTGAGAGAGAAGCATAAGCAGTTCAGTACCAATCCAACAAACAAGCCTGTAGACCAGGGGTGTCAACGTCATTTTCGTTTTTTGCCAAATCAAGATCATAAAGCCTCTTAAAGGGCTGATTGTGTCAAAACGTACTGCTAAAACTTGCTCACAAACTGTTTAACTATCAATGTATTCTTAAAATCAAATATTACTGAACATCGTTTCAGTTCCTCCAGGATTTTGTGATTCTGTTTGTGAATTTTTATAATAAAAATCAAAATATTTTATTTGGAAATATTTGCTTTTATTTATGACAGTAAATGTGAATTTTTTATTACTCTGTATAGGTCATGCACTATAATATGACATCAATTAAGGCAGAGGCAGCTGTTTTGGAACAAGTAAGAAAGTTTATGACAATTATGAAAAATCTGCAATAAACTCCTAATTATCAGCACAAAAAAGTGCAGGGATTTGCTGATTTTGTGTGAATTTCCAAAATAATTCTCAAGAAACTGGAGGGACTATTGATAGAGTGTGGCAGAAAACACAGAAATTGTATTAATATGATTGAAAACATAATATTTAAGCACACTTAGCATTTAATCTAGAATCTAGAGGGCCATACAAAAAGCTACAGCGGGCTGGATTTGGCCCACAGGGCCATAAGTTTGACACGTGCTATAGACGAAAGTCACTCCTTAATAAAAAACACACTAAAATTTTATGTAAAACTTAAATAGGAAAGTGTTTATCTTATATCTTTGTACAGCTATGGCTTAATTACTGCTCTGAATGTTGCTGAATGTCTTTTCCCCAAATTGTCTTTTTTTTTTTTACAAGCCTTATTACGATTATTTCAATCGATTCACCACACTTAGTACTATTAATTTGTTTCAGCCCTAAACAGAACAGTTGTATTTTATTGTAGAACGTGTGTGAGGTTGGTCAGTCTGTTTTTTAAGCACTCTGCTCACTTTCCATAAACATTTTCAGACTTAGAAGAGATCATACCTCTTAGTCAGGCTCAGTCTGACAAGCTGACGATGAAAGTGGATGATTGACTCTCAGAAAGGCAAGTGATGAAAATTAGATCATGATGTGTCCTGGGTAAAACTGTACATCCTGGTACATTCTGTCCCTTGGGAGTCAATGTCACTGAAGTTCACTTGAGTCTGTTTCAGGAAAGGAATGGCACTCCACACAATGGCTGAGATTCACTGAGGACGATGTGCTGTAGCCCTGTTAGTCTCTCAATCTATCAAAAACTCTGAGTAATTTTTATCACACATGTAAATATCAGTGAATATATCATATGGATTAATATATATATGAAAACAGATTTATTTAGGATCAGTGACAGGAAAATCTGTAAATCTGCTAGTAAATCTGTATTCATCACCATTAAGATCTTTGCTATTGACCCACTTAATCATTAGAGGCGCCATGATGGATGACGGACTGAACAGAGACTGAAACTGTTTCTAAAAGTTATATTTGCCAGTTTATGTGCGGCTTTAACTTGTTCGAGTGAAGCTAATTGGTCTGTGAGCGTAAGCTAGCTACCAGGTTGGCGGTAGCTAGCTACCAGGTTGGCGGTAGCTAGCTACCAGGTTGGCGGTAGCTAGCTACCAGGTTGGCGGTAGCTAGCTACCAGGTTGGCGGTAGCTAGCTACCAGGTTGGCGGTAGCTAGCTACCAGGTTGGCGGTAGCTAGCTACCAGGTTGGCGGTAGCTAGCTACCAGGTTGGCGGTAGCTAGCTACCAGGTTGGCGGTAGCTAGCTACCAGGTTGGCGGTAGCTAGCTACCTGGTTGGCGGTAGCTAGCTACCTGGTTGGCGGTAGCTAGCTACCTGGTTGGCGGTAGCTAGCTACCTGGTTGGCGGTAGCTAGCTACCTGGTTGGCGGTAGCTAGCTTAGAAACCGACCGAAACCTCTTTCCTCCTGATGCGTTAATCAAATTATCGACTTCACCTGAATTCACACTTGATTTATATCCCTATGTCACAAACAGTGGTCT